GGGCGCGAGGGGCACGTGCGACGCGGGGGTGGGGGGCTGGTCTCCCCATCGCAGGACCCCGCCTAGGCCAGCAGTCGTGGCCCAGGTGGACCACAGCCTGGGCTCGGCCTGGGTCCCCAGCCACAGGCGGGTGAACCCGCCCACACTGCGCATGAAGAAGCTGAACTGGCAGAAGCTGCCGTCCAACGTGGCTCGTGGTGAGGGTCCCTAGACCCCTGAGGGAGATTTCCCTCTGAGGACCGGGCCGGTTGTGCCAGGGGTGGCTACAGCGTGCGTGTCCCTGCCAGGGAGTGGCCAGGGCAGCCTGGCCCTGCTCTTGGCTCAGCGCTTGCGTGGTCTGGGGTGGGGGCGGGGGAGAGCAGGTTGGAGTCCCACCAGCCCCAGCTCCCCGGGGGCTGCTGCAAGTCTGGGATCTGCACGCAGCCCCTGCGCTGTCCAGGCCCCCCCGCCCCGCGCCCTGCTCAGAGAAGGCCGCGGCCTGCCGGAGCCAGGCAGCCTGCCGCGTGGACACACGCACCCGCGCGTCCACACGCACCCGCGCGTCCACATGCCTGAGTGCCTGCTGTGTGCCGGACCCAGCTGGTCCCCAGGCAGGGCGTCCTTGACAGCCTGTGGGAGGCCCAGGCCCCGTCCCCTGTCCCCTGAACCCCTGCACCCCTCTCCTGGGGGAGCCTGACTGGCCACGCCCTTGCCCACCCTCCCTGCAGAAGGCAGCTCCATGTGGGCGGCGCTGGGCAGTCCCAACACCGAGACGGTGGAACCCGACTTCTCCAGCATCGAGCGGCTCTTCTCCTTCCCGGTGGCCAAGCCCAGGGAGCCGGCCGCTGCCGCCCAGGCCAGGAAGGAGCCCAAGGAGGTGGGGCGGTGGCGGGGAAGGGCGCAGACCCGGGTGGCCCGCCCTGCCCGTCCAGGTACCAGCGCGGTGGGTGTGGGTTTTCCAGATCACGTTCCTCGACGCCAAGAAGAGTCTGAATCTCAACATCTTCCTGAAGCAGTTTAAGTGGTGAGAGACTGAGACGCCCCGCCCCCCCCCCCGCTGCCTTCCCTGGCTGGCAGTGCCCTCTGCAGGCCGCCGTGGGAAGTGCACGTGCGTCCCCAGCGTGGGAGGCCAGCTGCCCGCTGGGGGCCTGAGAGACCGCCCTGCCCAGGCTCCTGGGCAGGACTCCGTGATCAGCTGGGACCTTCCCTGAGGCCACAGACAAGCAACAGCCAGAATAGGCGATTCCTGGCCCTGACCAGTGCCGAGTCCTTCCCTGCTGCGGGGGGCTGTCCGGGGCCCCTGGCCGTGCCCTCTGCTGAGCAGCCCGTCCTCCCTCCTCCAGCTCCAACGAGGAGGTCACCGCTATGATCCGGGCCGGGGACACCACCAAGTTTGACGTGGAGGTTCTCAAACAGCTCCTCAAGCTCCTTCCGGAGAAGCATGAGGTGAGCCAGGACCCTCGCCCACCAGCGGAGATCGGGATGGGTCTGGGGCGCTCCCTGGGGGCTCCCAGCTGGAGCACAGAAGGGAGGGGTCCCAGCTCTGCCCCTGCCCTGGGCCATGCTGCCGGGAGCAGAGCTGCACGTGGGCGGGCGGAGGCAACGGGCAGTCCAGGAGGGCTTCCCGAAAGGAGGGCGGGAAGCTGGCATGTCGTGGGGCCTCCTCCCCACAGATTGAAAACCTGCGGGCGTTCAGAGAGGACCGAGCCAAGCTGGCCAGCGCCGACCAGTTCTACCTGCTCCTGCTGGGCGTTCCCTGGTGAGCCCAGGGAAGCCCTTGCACCCCAGGCCGGGCGAGGGGAGGCGGCAGAGGGAGGGGCTCCCCCATCCGAGAAACCGCAATTGTCTGGTTTTCCAACTTGGCTCGCGCCCCGCCCGCTGGCCCTTGTCTTCAAAGAGCAAAGCTGTGGGGTGGGGGCCTGAGGGGAGGAGCCCACTCCTCGGGCTGCCCCGAATGCCGGAGTTGGCCAGGGACAGCACGGCCCCCACCCCCACCACAGCCACGGATCTGCGGGCTTAGCCCCCCGCTGCAGGCGGGCGGGGTGGGGAGCTCCCGGCCCCTGACCCCGGGCTCTGCCGTCCCCAGCTACCAGCTGCGGGTGGAGTGCATGCTGCTGTGCGGGGGCGCGGCCGTCGTGCTGGACACGGTGCGGCCCCAGGCCCAGCTGGTGCTCGCCGCCTGCGAGAGTGAGTGGGGCCGTGGGGCCGGTGGGGCCGGGACACAGCAGGGCCCCTGACGGTGTTGGCCTTCCCCACCTCGCCTAAGCCACCCTCCTCGCCGTCACCACCGCCTGAGGCACATGCAGACACGCGTGCCTGCTCACACCCTCTCACACGCGATCACACGCATGCACACACGCACTCCCCTGAGCAAGGACTCGGCCGGGACAGCATGGCCGGGGGCAGGGACGCCACGGGTCTTGACCACGAGGTGCAACTCACTGCTGTCACGTGCATGCAGTGGGTGTCCCCTCCCATCTCCGCCACACAGGGACAGCTGTCTGGGAGCCAGAGCAGCCACAGGCTCTAGGAGGTCCCTCTGAGCACCCCGGTGTCCTCACCCACGGGGAGGGGTGCAGTCATCCGTCCCTGGGGTTTGTGAGGGGTCAGTGCTGCCGCCCGTCCCCCAGGCTTGTTCTGGCGGAGGGTTTGCAGACCCCGAGCCCCGGCCCTCTGTCCGTCCCCGCTGGGCTGAGCCTGGGGAAGCGTCTTGGCGGGTGGGGGTGAAGGAGCGCGGCAAGCAGGACCACACCCCACTCCGGGACTCTGCTCCGAGACCCCTGCCCAGCCCCGCGCCTCCCGCAGGCCTGCTCACCAGCCCCCAGCTGCCCATCTTCTGCCAGCTCATCCTGAGGATCGGGAACTTCCTCAACTACGTGAGTCGGGGCTGTGCCCAGCCTGCCTGTGCTGCCCCGCAGCCCCCCAGGAGGCAGGGACACTCACACCCTGTCCCTCCCAGGGCAGCCACACAGGTGACGCTGATGGCTTCAAGATCAGCACGTTGCTGAAACTCACGGAGACCAAGTCCCAGCAGAACCGCGTGACGCTGCTGCACCACGTGCTGGAGGTGGGCTGCCGTCGACCGCGCCCTCATCCCCTCGGGGGCGGAAGGGCGCGAGGGGCACGTGCGACGCGGGGGTGGGGGGGCTGGTCTCCCCATCGCAGGACCCCGCCTAGGCCAGCAGCATCAGAGCCCGAGCTGCGCCTGGCCCTCCCGGCGAGCCTCCTCGCGCAGCATTTGCTCACCTGCGCGAGCCTCCTCCCCGCCAGGACAGCTGCCCCCTGGTGTGGAGCAGCCCCTGAGAGAAGCAGAAATGGCACAAAATCACAGCCAGGCCCGGGGGAGGACGCGGAGGCCCAAAGTGCTGGGGGTTTCTGGACCTTCATTGCTAAGGGGCTAGGGACAGGGGCATCCCCAGGTCCGGGCTGCGGCCGCAGTGGATCTCACGGGACGTGTCCTGTTGCAGGAAGTGGAAAAGAGCCACCCGGACCTCCTGCAGCTGCCCCGGGACCTGGAGCAGCCCTCCCAGGCAGCGGGGTAGGCAGCTCCTGCCAGCGCCCCCCTCCGCCGGCCGGACCCCCAGCTTCTGGCCCAGCCGCCAGGCGGCCGGCCAAGGCCAGGTCTCCGCTGCGGCACACTGCCCGGCAGAATGTTGCCTCTCGCTTTGGGACGGGACCGTCTGCCATAGCTTGTCCCCTGTGTCTAAGATGAGGAAACTGAGGCTTGGGGGCAGGGATTGACCTGCCCAAGGTCACGCTGGGAGCTGGTCTAACAGTTTCTTTCCAAGGTTAATTTTCACGACAGCCCGTGAGCACGGTCCTGCCACCACCACTCTGTAGGGGAGGAAACAGGCCCAGGGAAGCCGTGTCACCCTCCTGGGGTCACACGGGTGGGACAGGCAGCAGCCCGGGCCGCCACCTCCTGCCCCGCACCTGCCCAAGGCCCTGGTTCCAAGCACAGGCCCTTCCCGGGCTCCACCTGCCCCCAAAGGTTCCCTGGTCCAGGAGCTGCTGCGCCTCAGTGGGGGCAGGGCAGGTGAGCAGGACACGTGACCATTAGGGGTCCCTGTCCCAACACTCAGGAAGGACCGAGGGTCCACTAGACCTGCCAGTGCGTGGCAGGCCTCAGGGTTCCGACCAGCTCGGGCCCTGCCGTGCAGCGAGGCACCTGGGCTTCCCCGGGGGTGTGCAGGTAGGCCCCCGCGTCCCAGTGTGGCTGGATGTCAGCTGTCACCTGTCCCTGCCTGGCCCTCTGGTGCCTTTCAGGATCAACCTGGAGGTCATCCACTCGGAGGCCAGCTCCAACCTGAGGAAGCTTTTGGAGACAGAGCAGAAGGTGTCAGCCTCGGTGCCTGAGGTGCAGGAGCAGTACGCCGGGCGCCTCCAGGCAAGCAGGCGGGGCGGGCGGGCACGCGTGTCCCGTGTCCATCAGGCCCCGCCCACCTGCCCTTGGGGCCCCCGCTTCTGAGGAACTGGGGGTCCCCCTGGGCCCTCACAGGGCTGTGACCGCGTCCCGTGCCCCCAGGCCAGCATCGAGGCCTCCCAGGCGCTGGACAAGCTCTTCGAGGACATCGAGCAGAAGAGGCGGGAGCTGGCTGACTACTTGTGCGAGGACGCCCAGCAGCTGTCCCTGGAGGACACCTTCAGCACCATGAAGACATTCCGCGACCTCTTCATCCGCGCCCTGAAGGTGAGGGGCCCAGGAAGGGCGCAGCCCGGAGGCCAGAGTGGGTCCTGGGCCCCCTCAGCTTCACCGGCAGAGCAGCACGGTGGGCACAGCGCTGTGGGCCGCCCGTCACCCTCGGCACCCCCTGCTGTGGCCCGTGGAGCCTGCAGGGTTGCTGCTGGGTGACCGACCGGGGCTCCCGTCACAGGAGAACAAGGAGCGGAAGGACCAGGCGGCCAGGGCAGAGCGGAGGAAGCAGCAGCTGGCCGAGGAGGAGGCGCGGAGGCCTCGGGGCGAGGACGGGAAGCCAGGTGAGGCCAGGCCTGGGCAGAGGGGACAGCAGCAGGGGGCAGGCCACGCTTCAGCCCCTCAGCCCCCCGCAGGCCCTCCAGGTGGACTCCAGCCCCTCTCTGAGGCTCCCTGGGCTCCCCAGGCAGGAAGGGGCCCGGGAAGCAGGAGGAGATCTGTGTCATCGACGCGCTGCTCGCCGACATCAGGAAGGGTTTCCAGCTCCGGAAGACGGCCCGAGGCCGCACGGACGCTGACAGAGGCAGCAAGGCAGCCACGGGGAACCCCCCAGGGGCCACGGAGTCTGGTGAGACCCTCGTCTGCCTCCTCCTCTCTGCAGTTCCCTTCCGATGCCCCCGCAGTGTGCCCTCCTCCAAGAAGTCCCCCGACCTCACGGGAAAGCCTGTCCTCTCCCTGGGCTGCCCTGGGGCACCTGAGATGAGGTGGCCGAGGGCACCGGCCTTCTGTCTCCATCTGTCCTCCGAGCGTCTCTGCTCGAACAGGGGGCCCTGGCCCAATGTGACGGCCACCAGCCCAGCCCCAGACGCCTGGAGAGATGGGTCCCCAGGGCACAGAGGGCACCTGAGGTGGCCGGAGGCTGGTGGCAAGGCCCTGGCGAGAGAGGCCCCTCTCCTTGGGGGTGCTGGCGGGGTGGCTCTCCCATGCTGTGGACAGACCGTGGACGCTGAGGCCACGCCCCGCCCTGTGGAAAGCCGCCCTTGGAGGCCCCTGTGGCCGTGAGATCCCACGGAGTTGGGAGGCTGTGCAGGGCCTGGGGTGGCCGAGACGGGTAGGCCCCGGGGGCGGCTTGGGGCCCGGATGCCTGCCCTGCAGTGACACTTCCCCCCTCCCCCCTCGCAGCGGCCAGCAGGGATCCTGCAGGAGGCCCCAGGAGTGGCACCCGCTGCCCCACCTCTGGGCCAGGCCTTGATGCTGCAGCCACCAACGAGCCTCCAGGCTGGGACCTCGTAGATGCCGTGACCCCCAGCCCGCAGCCCACCCAGGAGCCGTTGGAGGAGGGTGGTCCCAGACCCCTGGAGAGGCGTTCTTCCTGGTACGTGGACGCCAGTGATTTCCTAGCTCCGGAGGACGCCCAGTGTCCCCAGCCCTCGGAGGGGGCCTGGCCAGTGACTCTGGGTGACGCTCAAGCCCTGCAGCCCCTCAAGTTCTCCAGCGAAAAGCCCCCTGGGACCCAAAGTTCCAGCCACGATGCCGAGGGCCCCGCGTCCTTGGGGGGCATCCGTCAGGCCGAGGCCGACAGCACGAGCCAGGGACGGGAGGACGCAGGTGTCCTCAGCCACAGTGCGGGCCTCCCGGCTGCAGGCCTTGGTGGGGAAGCGGACGAGGAGGACCCGGCCCCGGAGTCCGCACTGGACACGTCCCTGGACAGGTCCTTCTCTGAGGACGCAGTGACTGACTCCTCGGGGTCTGGCACCCTCCCCAGGGCCCGCCGGGCCTCGAAGGGGCCGGGCCGGCGAAGGAAGAAGCGTTCGGCAAGGAGCCAGGAAGGTAACTCAGGGGCTGGGGGCAGCTGGGCACGTGGTCGGAGCTTGTCGGTCCCACACCAGGGCCCCGGACCTCTCCCCTTCCCCACTGGGCGCCCGGGAAAGAGGGCGGTTCCAGGGTGCAGCCCGCAGGGGAGGAGGTGGCCAAGCTTCCCACAGGAGGGCAGCTTCAGGGGGTCGCCGCTGCTCTCCTAACCGATTACTTCCTGCCTTCCCACCCTCTGGCAGGGTGGGGCCGGGCTGCCGGCACCATAGCAGAGGCTGTGCAGGGCACAGCGGGGCAGGGTGCCGCGTGGTGGGGTGCCTGGCGCCAGGCCCTGGACGCGTGGCTGCGTTCCGGCCCAGGGGCCAGAGGACCAGGTGGCTGGGCCTGGCGGTGCGCTTGCCGGCCCGGCCCCGGTCCCACCCTCCAAGCTTAGGGCTGCTCGTGTGCGGTAAGCCGTTGAGTGGGTTTATTTTGTTTGAAAGCAGAGGTTGCCCCTGATTGTGATGATAGTAATACAAAAAGGCTGTGTGTGATCCAGTGAGGTACGTATGCAGCCGGCGCTCTTGTGCACTAACGGTGGCGGCGGGGCAGCGGGGCCTGAGCTTGCTGCCCGGACCCCGACGCTAATCCTGGCTTCTCCCAGCCCACCTGGGTGCATCAGGGGGCCCCTTTCCTGTGCCGGCGGTGGTGGGCTCCTTCCCCTCTGTCCTCCCCTCTCAGGGCCAAGGCTCGCTTACCTGGTGTCCCCCGTCCCTCTGCGGCAGGACGCAACCTCAGGGCTGGCCTCCGGGCCACAGGCCTAGGGATGGCGGGTGGACAGCTGACGTGGGCTCCCTTCCGGGGGTGGGGCCTCGGGGGAGCTCAGCTCCCTGCAGGACAGGCTGAGGTTGTTCCTGCCCTAACTGCGGTTTCCCTAACCCTGCGCTTCACTGATCCTGGCTTCCTGGGAGGCATCTTCACTGAATCTGTTCCCCTCTGGGGGCTGGCCAGGGGGTCCCCAAGAAGTCTTTGAGGAGACAGGGATGGTCCCAAGGGCAGGCACTGCCAAGAACTAGCAGCAACTCTCTAAGGCATGGGTGGGGGTGGGTAGGCCCCCCTCCTCCCCCCTCCTTCTCCCCTGCCCTTCCTTCCCCTACTCCCATCCCTCTTGAGGTCCTGGAAATGGGAAGGGGTCCTTAGATGCAGATTCCTGCCAGCGTGTGCTGCCCTGGGCCTTCTGGGACCCCCCCCACCTGTGAGCAGGACAGCCGGGGCCAGAGCGGCTGACATACAACCAGACAGACCAGCCCAGGTCCACCGTGTGCCCAGACCGTGCTGGGTGTGGGGAGGAGGACCAGCCTGGCGTGGGGTCTCCCAGCCCCTCCAGCCTTGCCTAGGGCAGCCCAGGGAGGCTGGGCACTGTGGGTGTGCAGGCCCGGGCGGAGGAGCAAGGGTACGGACAGGAGGCCGCTGGGCCCTCAGAGGCGAGGGCAGCGGCGACGTCAGGGCGTTCCTGTCCCTGCGGTTTGTCCTCACTGTTGGCGCAGAGCCCTCACCCTCGGTCCAGTGCCTGCTTCTGGGGCATTTTCCGCGCTTGGCTCTCTGGGGTGAAACACCAGCACGTGTTTTTCAGAGAGGCCCAGCCTCTCTGTAGAGGCTGGAATTTGGACCTGCAGCCCTGGCCCAGCTGGGGCGTCTGCAGGTGGTCGCAGTCGGCTGTGCCTGGTTGTCCCCCGTCCTCCCTAGGTCCCGAGGGTGGGAGGAAGGACTCCCACCCTTTCTCTCCACCTTTTTATTTAGGAAAACTTCAACCTGGCAGGAAATTTGCAGAGAGATCAGAACAAACACCATCTTGTCCCCAAAATTGCAAAAATTTGCAAAAATTACCAAAATTGTTAACATCTTGCTATGTTGCTTCCCCACCAGAGCCATTGGGGAGGGCCCATAGACATCAGCACACCTGAGCCCCACACTCCCCCCCCCCCCCCCCCTGTCCCGCGAGCCCCAGGCCGTGAGCGCAGCGGCAATTCACGAGCACGCGACCGCCGGCTGGTGCTCGGCCCACGCCCTGGGCACGTGCCCCGGTGTCCCAGGTGTGCTGCTCAGGGCCACCGCTTTGGATTCTTTGAAACGAGACCCTGTCCAGAATCACAGGTTGTGCTGGGTTGTCACATCTCTTCAGTCTCATTTGCTCTAGAACTTTCTAAGTCCTTTTCGTCTTATGGGACAATGACATTTTAGAAGGCATTTGGGTTACCTGAGTGCTTTCCCCAAGCAGGTCAGACTGGGTCTAGGGCAGGAGTGCATCGAGGGAGGGGCCTGGCCGTCTGTCTGTCCACGGTTCACGTCCCTGCTGCTCACGTCGCGCAGGTGGTGGTCAAGGCAGACCTGCGCCTGCACAAGTGCCCTTATGGCCTTGCAGCTCGTGAGCAGCCGGGTGACCGCGCCAGGACCTCCCTTTCCCCAGCGCTGTTCTGCGCCGGCGGCTCCGCGTTCGAGCTTTCCCTTCTTTTTTAAGTTGTGGGAGTTTTGAACGTCTGTCACTGTCGCACATGTGGGCGGGGACCAGTGGGGCCCATCCCGGGCTCCCACGCCCCTTGGTCGGTGACCCCTCTGTTCCCTGAGCGCAGCGACGCCCTGCACCTGGCTCTCTTGCCCCAGCCGCGGCCCTGGCGGTTCCCGTGGCTCCCCGCTGTGGGAAGTCCTGCTGAAATCCGTCTCTGAGAGGTTGCGACAGTTTGTGCTTCATCTTGTTCAAGCGGTGACTCTCAAACCCCAGCCTGCCCCAGTCCCACAGGGGATCTGGGGACACTGCCTGGCACCAGGGTGGCCAAGTGAGGGCCCTGGACCAGAGAGCTGCGGGTGTTTGGGCCGGGGGCCTGCAGGGCCAATCGCGGGGACCATCCAGATGGCTGGAGCTGTTGGGACAGCGCCTGGTGCCCTCAGCACGCAGCTGGAGAAAGGACAGGCAGCTGCAGTCCTAGCACGAGGCGGGGAGGCGACAGAGTGCAGTGTGTCTGGGACGTGGGGGGATGGGCCACAGAGACCCCCGTCTCAGCAGGGAGGAGACAGCCGTGTTGAGACCCAGCCTGCACGGGAGCCGGTTTGCCAGGGTCGTCCCTGCACCTTCCACCTGGATGAGTTCTGTTGTTCCAGAGACAGGGCCTGGGGTCAGAGTGGACCCGGGATGCACAGCACAGCCCACTGGGCAGTGGTATTGAGGGGTGCCGGGACGTGGATACCCCAGAGCAGGCACCCTGGCACTGCCCCCAGCAAGGCTGCTCCTAACACTGTCCCGTTCCCTCCTCCTTACAGGCTTCAGGCCCAAGCCCAAAGCCAAGTGACAGAGCCCGTGGGTGGCCTGGGCACAGCATCGGCTGCCGGACGTGCTGCTGGGCGAGGCTCTTCCGGTGGCCAGGCTGGGACTGGGCCCTGTGAAACCACAACTCCGTGCCTTACCCGGCCAGGGCCCTCCCGGAGCCTTCCGGGGTGTTGTGGCCAGGACCCCGACAGGCACCGCTGCCCGGCCTGGCGCCCTCCTGACTGCCTGCACGCACCCAGCGTCCCCGCCTGCTTCCTCCATGCGGCCCCACACCCGCGTGCGGCCCCCGCCCCGCACCCCGCCTCCCGTCCGCCAGGCTGCTTCAGCGGAAATGCGACTCTTCCAGGCTTTACTGTTCTGTGGCAGCTGAGCTGGGACCAGGGTCGGGGAGCTGACCCCAGGGCAGAGACCGGCGAGGCGCCTCCCTGTGGCGTCCACCCCCGTCCCGCGGCGTCCAGCCTCTGAGCACGGGGTGGGTCTGCCTCACCTGCAGCCATGACCCGGCCCCCATCAGCAGGAAGCGCCTCCTAGGGCCAGCTTCCCAGCCAGGGGACAAGCGCCAGCTAGGGGGCTGCGGGGTGAGCAGCTCCCCCTCTCCTGCTCACCATCCACCAGCGCGGGCAGCCTGCCGGGGCCCCTGCCACCCCCAGGGCGGGCTGCAGAGGCTGGTGGCTGGACATGTGACCAATAAAGAGCAAACCTGGCCCAGCAAGACTGTTGTGTTCAGAGGCCGCGGGGGTGGGCGGCAGGATGTGGCGGGTGGAGGGAGGGACGGAGAGGACGGCTGGACGGCAGATGAGCGGTGGGCTGCTGCCCTGTGGGAGTGGAGCCAGGGAGGCGCCCCGTGGGACTGTGGGAGCCCAGCTGCCCACGTCCTGCCCATGTCCCGTGCAGTGCGACTGGACCCTCCTGGCCTGTCGCCCTCCCATCAGTGGCCCCTCGCGCAGCGGCTCAGCCACCAGATGGGAGCCCTGAGGGACAGGTGCCCCGGGCTTCCCTCCATGTTTCGCCCTGTGCGTGGCATGGTGGTGGGGGTGCGGTGGGCGCAAAAGAAATACCTGTTGAATTAAATTTTTCAAAAACCCTAAGTGGTTTCTGGGCTGTAGCCTTTCTGTCACCTTGATCGGCATTTTGTGGAACCAGACAGCAGCATCCACTGTCGGAGCAGGGAGCTTCCTCGTGACAGAAGGGGAGGGGTGACCAAGGAGCAAGGCCGCCCCCCCCCGCGGCAGGAACGGGGACAGGAGACACCACTTGCAGCCCCGCCCACCTCTGGGCCCCTCGTCCCCCAGCCTGGGCTGGCCAGCTCCTCCCGGCCTCCCTGACCGCAATGAAGGGGCCGGGGCGGGAGCCGGGCGGAGCGTGGGGGTCACCGCAGGCTCAGCCAGCCCCGGAAATCCCACCTTCCCTTGGAGGGGCGCGATGGTCCGTCAGGTTCGCTCATGACCGGCTCATTAGGCAGCCTGTGTCCAGGCGCCTGTCCCCGGCCGGGGCAGGTCCCGGAGGCCTGCGTGTGGTGGTGAGAAGGCAGCCCCGCTGCCCCCACGGGCGTCTGGAGCAGGGCAGAACCGGCGGGGAGCAGCCCCAGCCGCGGTGGGCGGGGCGCAGCTCCAGCGGGCGCGATCTCCGTGCCGTCGGACTCTCCCGTGGCAAGTGCGAGGGGCAGTGATTTCTGTTTCTCGGCAAACTGACAAGGTTGTGCGACCCTCACCACGACCCAGACCCAGCGTTAGAATCTTCCCATCACCCCAAAGCGCTCCCCGACACCATGAGCGCTCACTCCCCACCCTGGCCCGGCGCCCACTGCCCCTGACCCTGTCCCCGTGGGTTTGCCTGTCCCGGACACGTCACGTTACGGAATCACACAGCATGTTTCCTTCTGCGACGGTTCTTTCACTTAGCATGTGTTCAAGACTCCTGCGTGCCGCAGGCCTCGTCAGTGTCCGCTTGGTGGCTGAAGCATCCCGAGGTAGGGACAGACCTTGTCCGTTCATCCGGCGGTGGGCACACGGGTACCCCCAGTTCAGGGCTTGTGTGACGACACCGCTAGGAACGTCCGCAGGCTAGTCTGTGTGGACGAGCGTTTTCACTCCTCCGGGGTAGATTCCTCACAGGGGAATGGCCGGGTCACAAGCTAAGTTTATGTTTAACTTTTTAAGAAGCTCCCAGATGTTTTCCAAAGCAGCTACACCAGGTTTCCTGCTCGCCAGGGCCGCTGCTTTGGTTGCTTTTAGGTTAAATAGCTCAACCCCTCTCCCTCCCTCCCCCACAAATCTTCAAGTAAAATTAAGCCACGGAGCAGTGGGCAGGGTCACACCGGCCACCTGCCGCTGCCCCTCCTGCCTGGAGAGGTGGGGCGGGAAGCCATGCGCGAGGAGGGGCCGCCTTTCCCGGGGCCCTGTTCTTTCTCGCCGGAGTCGGAGTCGGCGCAGTGGGTTCCGACCAGCAAAGCAGCCAGAGGGGACAGCTCCAGGCACCTTGAGGGTTGCTGGGTGTGACGTGTACACAGTGGCTGTGGTTGTCTGTGTGACCTGGGCCACCATATACGACAAGGCCCCCAAAGGGTGGAAACCACAGGTGGCTAAGCCCGTGTACCCGAGGGCCCTTGGGATCTGCGAGCTTTGTGGAGGCCACTTCCCAGTCACACGGGGCAGCCTCCAGGCTTGGTCGCTCCGGCCGCGCTGCCCACACCTGGGGACAGGCCTGATGCTGGGCAGGGCGGGCTGGGGGTGTTCTAATCTGGGCCGGGCCGTGTGACCGGCAGGGCCCCAGCCACAGGGCCCGGACAGGGCTGTTTTTAGCAAAGCCCAACTCCCTGCCCCCACGCGGGCCCGCAGCTATTTATAGTCCGGGGCCTGGGGGAGTCAGTGCCCAGCCAGCGGCCACTGGCCGGCTCTGCCCCTGCAGAGCCCGTCTGAACCCCCTTGATAGGGTGGCCCAGCATGTCCCCTGGTCCCCTGGAGCCTCGGTCTCACACCTGCTGGCCAGAGCCCTGAGTCTCCTTGGGAAGGGCTCAGAGTCCATGTCCCCTGCGCTGCCGTGGAAACCGCCCCAGGGGACACAGGGAAGCACCCCTCGTCTGACACGACCCCGCGGCTCCTGATGGGCACTCAGAACGTTCAAATTCTCTCATCTGGAAACAAACCTGTAACCCTTTTGGTTTCTCCTGCTGCAATGGCCCCTTCCTCACCTACTCAGCCAGCTGCTGTGCCCCGGATCGCCTCCTGAGACCCCCGGCCCCGCCCGGCCACAGCCCCCTCCGGGTCCAGTCCCGAGGCTGCAGCCCGTCCTCAGCCTGCTGCACCTTCTGCGGCGCAGGAGCCTGGAACCAGGTCCTGCTCCAGCCGCTTCCCGCTGGTGGCCAGGTGTGCTGACTCTGCACTGCACCCCTGAACAGCTGTCCCCCCCACGGTGGCACCAGGAAGGGATACAGACTGCATCTCTCTCCTGGGGACAGTGGTCGCGCTACTCGAGGCAGCCCCGACTACTGTGGCCGTATTTCGGCGTTTCCCTGCAGCAGCGCTCAGGGAGAGGAAGGCTCCGTGTCCCCGTGTGAGAGGAGAGGGCACTGGGCACGGAGGGCTGGGGTGACCTGCCGGTGGCCGGAGCACAGTGAGGGAGGCCAGGCTGCTCTCAGCCTCAGAGGGCTGGTGGGGAACAGTCCCCTCCCGCAGGCCCAGGGAGGGGGGATGGGAGGTGCAGGGGAGGGATGCAGTCCCTGGCTGTGCTGGCGTCGCTAACTGTGGGCAAGCTTTGCGGGGACCGAGCCCAGGGCCCACTCCCTCCCCGTGGAGAGTGTGGGCAGTGTCTGATCTCCCTGGGCTCCTTGTCACAGGCCTGGGAGCTGCCCCAGGAGCCCGGTGGCTCTCTGAGCCCCATCCGGAGGTCAGTCAGCCAGAGCCCCCGGGAGGGAGGGAGGGGACCCCCCCAGTCCTGGGGTGAAGGCCTGATAGGCGCTCCTGCCCCCAGGGCCCACCCCCAGTCCTGGGCAGGGGGTGAGGTGCGGGTGGGGCAGTGCCCCCAGCTGGGGACCGGAGGACGGCACACCACTGCTCTCTGGACCCTGTCCCTCCACAGGCTGGGACAGGAAGGTGGACTGGCGTGGGGCCTGTGGCAGCTGGTGCACGTCCCTGAGGTTGCTCCCCGGCCGGCCGGTGACGCTGACCACTCGGGCCCCTCTACCCAGACCTGGGTGCTGAGGGCTGGGATGCAGCTGGGCTCCAGAGCCCGCCTGCTCCCTCCTGCCAGTGTGGGCCACACCCTTCCTGGAAGGCACCAGGGGCTCTGCGCCTGGGGCAAGCGCAGGCCAGACAAGGGAGCACAGCCACCAGGGAGGCTTCCGCCCAGGGCCTCGGGGGTCCCAGCTGAGCAGGTGCGCGACCCAAGTGCGTGACCCTCAGGTGGGGCGCACAACGCAGCGCCCTTTTGCGGACCTTATGCAACTGTGTAGGGAGCAACTACTCCGAAGTTTCCGACCCCGAAGTCCTTGCACGGCGGGGTGGGGTCGCCGTGCGCAGACCCTGGCCGGCAGGCAGGCTCGCGGGAACCTAACCCCACTGCGTATTCGCTGGCGCTCCCGGGCCATCTGCCTGCTCTGCCGTCTGTGCAACCCGCCGCTCCCAAATTGGCCACGCCTCAACTCGGCTCCCGGCGGCTGCCAGCGGGGCGGGCACTGGCCGGCCGGAGGTCACCAGGGCGTCCCTGCGCCCGCCCCCGCCCCGGGTCGGCCCCATTTAACTGCGCAGCCGGCGGGCTTTCGGGCGGCCAGCACAGCGGACAGCCGAGCCAGCATGTCGGGGACCCGAGCCTCCAACGACCGGCCCCCCGGCACAGCCGGCGTCAAGCGGGGGCGGCTGCAGCAGGAGGCGGCGGCGACCGGCTCCCGTGTGACGGTGGTGCTGGGCGCCCAGTGGGGGGACGAGGGCAAAGGCAAGGTGGTGGACCTGCTGGCCACGGACGCCGACATCATCAGCCGCTGCCAGGTGCGGGCGGGCCCGGGTCCCTCCCCCACCCGCCCAGCGAGCCCCCCTCCCCGACCCAGACGGACCCTGTCCCCCTGCGCCCTGACTGGGTCATGCCACTTGGATTCCTTCCGCACCCCAGCACCTCTCCCAGGGCCACCCTACACACGCACGCACACACACGCTGCTCACACCCACCCCCTGACATATCCCTCCCTCCACCTGACACCCCCTGCTCCCCCGCAGGGCAGCCGGCCAGGGGCAGAGCTATAAATACAAGTCGCTGAGTTGGGGACACCCGATCCTCAGTGGGTGGGACGGAGTGACGCTGGGTCCTCCACGAGGGGGGCAGCTCCTGGGTGTTTTGGGGTCCCCAAGACACCCCTCCTCCTCGCCCTGCTGTGATCACCTGGGGCGGATGTGGGTCTGGGGCAGCCCAGCTAACTCCGTGCAGGGTCTGTGGGTGGCCAAGAGGCGGAGAGCTGCTTGCAGGCAGGGGGTGACCGGATGAGTCAGCCAGGAAGAGGCAGAGGCGGGGCAGCGGCCGGTGCCCTGGCGGGGAGCAGCTGGGGGCGTGGATTGAAGGAAGCTGCTTGGGAGGGGTCGGGTGTGGGGAGAGGGAGGAGCCACAGACTCCTGGCCTGGCCACCCAGTGGCTGGTGGTGCCACTGAAGAGGCCAGACACAGGCTTGTCCCCAGGGCCCAGGGCGGAGCCTCGACCAGCTACAGGCTGCTCTCAGCTCCCCCATCTGTTCCGCCCGGTGCTGGCCACTGGGCACTCTCTCGGGGCCACTGCCCAGGGTCTCCGTGGGTCCCCACTTGTGCCAGTGCTGCCCGTGGGCTGACTCACAGCTCCGGGCACAAAGCAGTCAGCTCTGGGGTGCCCTTGCTGGCACCGCTGGGGTTTGGAGCCCTGACCAGAGGGCTGCTGTCATAATTGGGGCAAGGACATCTGCTCCAGCCCCTTCCCCTGGTTCTGTGGCCTCCGTCCTGAGCTCTGAGAGGAGGGCTGGGGGCTCGGGGGAGTCCCTCGAGGAGGGACTCAGCCCAAGGATTCGTTTGGCTGGAGGCGATCTGGCCTCAGCAGCCACCTAGGCCGTTCCTGCCCGTGGGGGCTGGTGGCCTCCTGGGGAGTTTATGTCCCACCCTCTCTCTTCCCCACGAGGCAGACGATCCCCTCCCAGGTCCCAGAGGCAGCCGTCAGACACCCCGCGTGTGTGGCGGGTCCCTGTCTCCTGCAGCCTGAGGATGTGTCCAGCAAGCCCCAGCTCCTCTCCCTCTGGGGTGCCCAGCGCCAGGGCCGCCACGCCCCCCGTCCCTCCTCAGGCCCCTGCCCCGGTGATGCCAGGGCCCCTCCCATGACCTGCGGGCTCGGCCAGCACCCGAGGGCCACCCCCTGCTGCTCGCGATGCCCACAGGGCTTGTCGCAAGGCTGCCAGGCTCTGCCTCGCACTGTGGAGACGGTGCTGGCACGGCCCTCGCTGCTCTGCCAGGACCAGCGGGGGCAGAGCGGGCGGCACCCATCCCAAACCCGGGGCAGCCAGGCACCCCTCGCCCAGCCCGACTTCTCTAACTTGAGGTCAAAACACGGCCCCTCCTGAAGGAGCCCCCGCGCTCCAGCTTATCGGGAATAGACATTTGAGGAGCGTCCTGGAGCCCACGGGGCCTCCTCCAGCCTCCTAGCGCGCCAGTGAGGCGGCGGCGTTCGCAGAGCTCCTTCACAGGTGGGGAGACCGAGGCTCAGAGGCCTGGAGGAATGAGCCCTTACAGGTGCCCATGTCCACCACGACAGCTCCGGGCCTGGCCCGCGTGTCCCCACCCCGTGGTGAGGTAACGAGCTGAGATTTCAGCGGGGCCACTCCTGGAAGGCAAGGTCGAGGGACGCCCTCTCTGAGTGCCCGGCCCCAGGCCCTGCAGGTGCCCAGTGGCCCTGGGCTTGTCCCTCCCCCAGCAGTGGGGGCTCCGCCTGCCACTGGCCTCCCCACTGCTAGTGCCCCCCACGTCTGCCCACCCCGTGTTGTCCAAGCCTGGTGGGGGAGTCCAGCCACATGTCCCCGAGGAAGGCTGCCCCTGCTTGGAGAGTGTGGGCCTGCAGCCCGATGACAGTACCGGCAGTCGGGGTCCCCGGGTGCAGCAGAGTGGCCGAGGGAATGCACACGCGGGGGGCAAAGCGACCAGGCCCCGGTGCCCGTGCGGACGGCAGGCTGGCCGCCCCAGGCCCCTGAGGGCCACCTGGGCTGCCAGCTGTGGCTGGGGCGGTCTGCGTGGTGGCCACGCCTCCTCCTCAGCCCCGCCCCTGGGCGGCACGGGCTCAGGCTCAGGCTCAGGCTCCGCCGGTGCTCTCCGCCAAGCCCTCGCGGCCCATGGCACTTGGTGCCAGTCCACTTCCCGCCCTGCCCAGAGGTGGTCTGGGGCTGCCCAAGCTCCTCTCCCACCCCCGTCATTCGGAGCCTGTGGTCAGAAGGTCCCCGGCACCCCCAGGGGCTTCCTTTCCTTCCAGCCTCAGGCCTGGGGTCCCGGCTGCCGCTGCTCTTTGCACGTGGGACCTGCCCCCGGCAGCCCAGTCCGCTGCACACGTGTCCTGCACCCCTGGCCTCCTGCCCGCAGCCCCATCCCGTCCTGCCACGGCAGTGCCGCCTCCACCCCACGGCTCTGGGTCTGTCGGGCTGTGCCGTGCCCCCGCCCTGCTGCGGCTTCCTTGTCTCCTGCCCCCCGTGCCCCTCCTCTTCCCTCCAGGCTGACCCCTGAGCTGGGCCTGCCCTCCCTGTTCCGGCCGCACCACAGAACCGAGACGTCATCCACTCTCTGTGCGGTCCGTGGTGTCTCCTCTCTCCGCTCAGATGCCCCATCCCACCTCCTGGGCACCCATGGGCACCCCGGCCTGGGCCTCCTCTCCTGTGTCTGCCGCGTTTCCTTCCCCCGAGAGCCGGCCTGCGTGTCCAGCTCCTCGCCCCCCGATAGGCAGCTGAGGCCGCGCTCCCTGGGCAGGCGCGTCCTGGCCACCGTGTCCGTGCTGCACCCCGTCCCTGGCCGGCGGCGGTCAGCCTTTGGCCCCAGCTCGGCCGTCTCCAAGCTGCCTTCCTCTGATGCCCTGGGCTCCCTGCCCGGGACCACGAGGCCCCAGCGCACACCTTTGCGTCTGACCGCGGGATCCCATGGTGATCACCTCCCTGCCCTCCACCTGCAGCTGGGGCCTGTGTCCAGCCAGGGCCACCCTGCGGGGGCAGCAGTAGGCCCCAGGCTGGTGGTGGCAGCTGTGGCAGCGTTCACAGGGACGTGAGGTCACAGGGGCTCCTGGCGCATCTTCTGTGGTGTGGCAGCGCTGGCACTGCTGACATTCGGGCGCTGAGGGACCCTGTCCTGTGGCTCGTCCGTCCCTGGGAGCTCTGTCCAAGGGGCTGTCGGGAAACGCTAGGCCTCGGGCCCCAGGCTGCTCCCAGGGCCCCTGGAGGTGCAGGGCGGCCGTCCCGAGCGGGCTGCTCACCGCCTCTGTGCCGCTGGTGGTGCTGGCCGCTGAGCAGAGGGCAGGGCTTCCCTCGGTCACACAGCCCCGTGTCACCGGGGAACGTCTGCCTGAGCAGCCGAGACCTGCCCGCCATGCCCACGACCTCAGTTCTTCCCCGGGCCTCGCCCCGCTGTCCCGAGGGAAGGAGCCCGCGAGCAGACCCCAAACGAAGGGAGGCGCTGGGTCATCGCAGGCTGCAGCGCGGTGGGTCAGGACCACTGAGACGCTGGAGCTGAGGCCCCTCCCTCTGCCCAGAGAGGTCGGGCCCAGGAGCCTCACAGCCTCCAGGCAGCCGCCACCATCCGCGCCCCCCAGGCCCCAGCAGTCGCCACTCTGCCCCCGCGCCCACTGCCCTGCTGCGCTCGCCGTGCAGGCAGAGTCGCTCCCAGTCCGGGAGGGAGAGGCGCAGCCGCCACCCCACTGCCATCGTCCTCCCGAGTAGGAAGCCGGCCTGCGGGGGCAGGGGTGGGGTGTGCGCCTGGTGGCCAACGGCTCTGCCAGGGCAGGGGGATTCGGGCTGTCAGGGAAATGCACTCGGCTAGTGCCGGGGAGAGGGAGGTCGGGGCTCAGGTGGTGGCTCCCCTCAGCCCAGGGCCGCTGCAGGTGGGGCTGAGGGTGGGGGTGCATCGCAGGGGAGAAAGGGGCTGGTGTCTTCCCCGACCCTGGGGCCAAGTGGACACAGCCAGAGCCCCACCCCGTGTGACTGAGGGGCAGAGAAGGGCAGTGGCTGAGTGGTCCGCGAGGTGAGGGGCCTGGCGGGTCAGAGGTCAGCAGCCTCCCCCAGCCCGGGTGGCGGCCGGTGCTGCGCCAGGGCTGGGCAGGGCAGGGCAGGGCAGGGCAGGGCAGGGCAGGGCAGGGCAGCGCAGAGGACTGGAGAGCGAGGCTGGGGCTGCGCAGGAGGCGCGGTCAGTGTCTGTGCACGCGGGACGCGCCGGGAGCAGGAGGGAAGGACAGGGCCTCTGTGTGGACAGACCCCTAAAGGGGACGGCAGCGCAGGGCCTGCTGACCACGCAGGGTGCTCCCCTCCCTCCTTCAGCCCGGGGAGCAGCGGGGAGCACCTCAGGGGCACGCAGGACCCTGTGGCCGGGAGCCTGGAGGACCCCAGCCTCGCCTGAGCGCAGGGGCCCTGCCACCCCCTGCAGCGGCGGCGGCAGGGCAGGACAGCCAGACTGGCCAGTGCCTCGTGGCCCGGCCCTCCGCGGGCACCTTTGCTGTGGGAGTGGCCTGATGCCGGGCGCTGCCGCTGGCGGGGCCCTGGGGTCATCTGAGGGTCATCGGACATCCCCCAGCAGCCTGCGTCTGTTCCCAGGTGCCTGTGTTTACCCCCAACGCAGGTGGGGTGTGCCTGCGGGGGCTTTGCTGGCTGTCGTCTGTGTGCGCGCCCTCGGGCTGCTGACGTTGGCCTGGGCGCCCTTCCACCGTCTGGGCTGTCTGGCCCTGGCCGTGCCGGCAGCGCCTGGCCTGGTGCCTGAGGTCCCCGAGGCCTGCCAGCTTGGGGGTGGGGGGAGCCTCGCACTGGGGCGGCAGACTTGGCCCCATGGGAACTTCCCTGCTCTGGGGACCCCCGTTTTCCCCCCCTGTCCCCGGAGACCTCCGCCCCTGCCTGCCACCCCCAAGGCAGCAAGCGTGACTGCGGCTGCTGTGACCCAAGTGTGAGGGGAGCTGCCGCCTGTGCCAGGCCGAGGGCAGAGCCAGGACGGGTGTCTCCAGGGGGACGCAAGTCACCCCCAAACCCGGGCCTGTCAGTCTGTCCAGGGCCTGCCCCATCCTGAGTGCCCAGGGCGGGACTCCCCGTCAGAGGCGAGAGAGCTCGGGTGGTGCCCCCTCTTTGGAAACCGAGTGGTCTGCTTGTGTCACGTGGCTCATTCGTGGCCGGAGGGAGGCCACGCGCTTCCTGGCCTGGGCCCTCTCCCCAGCCCAGCCGCCTGCAAGCTCTAGAAAGGGGGAGGCTGCCGCTGGGTGCTCCCCGGGACTCGCTGCCCCAGAACTGCTTTTGCTGTTTCATCCTTAGATGGGAGGTGCTGGCCGGGGTGGGGGGTCCCTGCCGGCAGGTTGGGCCGTGGAGGCCCCTTGTCTTCGCGCTGAGCCACCTCCCGGAGGCGTTGGCACCAGCCTGGGCCAGACCCTCTCGGACCCAGTCCCCGACTGCACCCCGCACCGCACCCAAAGAGCAGGACGCTAACCCAGCCCAGCCCCCAGACACACGGCAGAGCCCACCCTGCACTGGGCTCCCCAGGCCCAGCGGCCCTGCCCTGTGGGGCAGAGGAGGCTCTGAGCATCTGCACCTGGACCTGGCCAGAGGGCGGCTGGGGCATCGGGCAAGCCCCAGGGGTCGGTCCCACCCCGGGGGTTCCGGCACCCAGTGCCTCCGCTCAGCCCAGTCTCTGTTCCAGGGGGGCAACAACGCCGGCCATACCGTGGTGGTGGACGGCAAGGAGTACGACTTCCACCTGCTGCCCAGCGGCATCATCAACACCAAGGCCGTGTCCTTCATCGGTGAGTGCCCTGCCCCGCTGGGCGCCCTCCCCGCTGTGTGCCTCGGCCTGGCTGGGACGGGCTGAGAGGACACGGACGCCGTGCGGGGGAGGGGGCAGGAGCAGACCTGCCTGACCTGGTGCTGTCCTCAGAGCCCTGCCGGTCGGGCTGCGGTCCCCCCCTGACCACGGGCCTCGCCGCCTGGGGGCACAGAGGCTCCCTGAGCACTGGGACTCCCCGCGTGCGTGTGCATGGCAGCGTGTGGGTGCCGGGCCGTGCCCTCGCCTGGGCTCTGCGGATGCCTGGCCGGCCTCGTCCCTTCTCCTCGTGCCTCTGTCCTCGGTCCCCACCCCCTCCGGGGCCCGTGCACAGCTCCGGACCTGGCTGCGGCGCTGGTGGCTTCTCAGTGCCAGGATTTCGAGGCTCTGTCCAGACACCGCCTCTCCTGCCCAGCCTGGACTCGGTTCTTAGCCCAAGACCCCCTTGCTCAGAGAAGCTTTTCCTGGCCCCCCCAGGCCAGGCCAGCCAGACCCCCTCTGCTCCTTTTGCTTCCAGCTCTTTCCGTGACTACAGCAAGGCCACGCTCGCCGGTCAGGAAGGGGCTGCGGGTTCGGGCTGTGCCCAGCGCTGGCTGTGAGAGGCGGGGAGATGCCAGCGGGGGAGCAGCTGGGGGAGGTCGGGGCTGGGCCGGAGGGGAGACTCGCCCAAGAGCCTGTGCGGAGGAGCAGACTCTGCTCTGGAGCCCCCAGCGCAGAGCGAGGACAGGGCGGCGACAATCCGTATTTCGCAGTGGGTAGGCCCTAGCCCGGGCAGTGTCCCTGCAGCCCCTGGTCCCCAGCGCCAGGCGGATGGGGAGGCGGCTGACCGCTGCCCCCGGCTGTGCTGCAGGACGCCTTCTCCCAACATCCGCCTCTTCTGCCGGGCCCTGGTCCCGCTCGCGGGAAACGAGGCCAAGGCGGCGCCACGTGACCCGGAGGCACTCTGCCGGGTCTGGGCTAGTGACCGGAGCCCAGGCTGGCAGCCACCGGCAACAGCGGCAAGGGCTGGCTCGGCAGGCGGCGGTCAGACGGTGCCGGAGGCTCAGCAAGGGGCAGACGCTCCTCAGCCGGCAGCTCTCTAGGCCTCCGCCACGTGGTTATCTCAGGATGCTGTGGCCTTTGGGTGACCTGTTGTGCCCTCTGTGGGTTGCACGGTCTCTGGTCACTCCCATCTGGACTGATGTCCTGTGTCCCTCGGCCTGTCCCACGGCCAGCCAGGCGGGAGCCGGTGGGGGGAAGGGAGGCAGCAGGTGGCTCTGAGGGCTCCTCTTGCTCTTAGGGAAGGGCCTGGAGTTCAGACCCCACGCTGGCGTGCTGTGAGACCCTGGGTCAGCTGCCTGCCCTCTCTGGGTCGGGGGCTCTGCCAGGGGCTCCCTAGGAGGCGCTGCTGGGCCTGGGAAGGGGGCGCCGCGTTTCTCCAGGGCTCTCCCGTTTTCATGCCAGGCGAATAAAACGCAACAGCTTTCTGGAGGTGTAATTCACCTACCATGAAACTCACCAGCTGTGCAAGTGAGACGTGGAACCACCACCACAAAAAATTTTAAAAATTGAATTTTAGAACCTTTTCATCCCCCCAAAAACGTTGCCGTGTGCGTTTGTGGTCATCCCTCCTCCCGCGGCCCCCGCCACTGCTGACCTGCTCTGTCTCTACAAACGGTTCTGTGCGGGCTTGGGGCTTTGTTTTTACCATTTTTTAATTGTGGTAAAACAAACAAGACATAGGATTTACCGTTTAACCATTTTTGTTGTTTTTTTTTAATAGACTTTATTTTGAAGAGCAGTTTTAGGTTCTC